CTTTGCTCTCCAAGTAATGGTGGCTAGCTAACCGACCTCTGAGGCATCCTTTCTGTGTCTCCACCCAACCCTGTGATTAATTGCAGAATGTGCCTATTGCTTAGGATAAAAGTATTTCAATAGTACCAGTTCTTGGTTTGCAGATAATGTGCTCTGCAACCTGACACTCACAGCTACAGCTTCTTCAGAGGCCTGCTTCTAGCTCTGGGAGCTTGAGAAGAGGGGAGATCTAGGAGGATAAGTTGGGATAGCCTGGCTCTGTGGCTTTGTTTATCTGTCTGGAATTATTATGCAACCATGGCCACACCTCTGTGCTTTGTCCCTGCCCAGGTTGCTGGGATCAGCTTCAGGCAGTACTGCCCACTTCTACAGGAATGCTCATTCTATCTGTTTGCTCCTTCTGGCTGAAGGAAGTGCCAGTGGCAACCTGATTCCTCCCTTCAGGGCTGAGCCCCACCTTGAGCCCCAAGCTGCACATCACTAGCACTGTCTCACCTCTTCTCTCTTTCTACCTCTTTGTTCACTCCTACTTGCCCATCCTCAGATATTTCAATGAGTAGATATCTCAGATTTGGTTGTGCATTGAGCAAGAAATTCTTTATCGAATTATTGCTGTTCAAATTGTTGAAACTTCAAAGGAAGTTAACAAGGTGACCTCTCATGCTGCCATTCCTCTGATGTCACTCTCTAGAGTTACTTACTTATTGATTCATTAAGAGATCCTAAACCCTGGCCAGTTTGGCTCAGGGGATAGAGTGTCGGCCTATAGACTGAAGGGTCCCAGGTTCAATTCTGGTCAAGGGCATGTACCTTGGTTGCGGGCACAACCCCAGTAGGGGGCGTGCAGGAGGCAGCTGATTGATGTTTCTTTCTCACTGATGTTTCTAACTTTCTATCCCTCTCCCTTCCTCTCTGTAAAAAATCAATAAAAAATATATATATTTAAAAAGAGATCCTAAGAACTTGGCTCCAGTTTGGTATAATGTGTGTGGTCACATCTCTTCCAGAAGGCTAAGGGAAGCTATTCTTATAACTAAAGCTTCTGGTGGACATTTTTATTCAACTTTTTAAAACATAAATACCCTATATAATAAAAAGGTAATATGCAAATTAACACTCATGCCCTCACAAGATGGTTGCCTATGACCAGGCCGGCAGGGGTTAGCGAGGGACGACCAAATGACTGAACAGCAAGCTGCATGGGGCAACTAGGCCAGCGTAGTGTCTGTGAGGCTTGACTAGGCTGGCAGGCGGGGCAGTTGGGGGCAACCAGGCCAGCAGGTTGGGTAGTTGGGGGTGACCAGGCTGGCAGGTTGGGATTAGGGGTGACCAGGCCAGAAAAGAGGGGCAGTTGGGGGTTACCAGGTCAGCAGGGAGGGGCTGTAAGAGGTTACCAGGCTGGTGTGGGGTGCAGTTAGGGGCAACCAGGCTAGTGGGGTGAGTGCAGTTGGGGGCGACCAGGTTGGCAGGGGGTATAGTTGGGAATTATTAGGCTGGAAGTGGGGGGAGTGAGGGATGACTAGGCTGGCAGGCAGGAAGTAAGGGGTTACCAGGTTGGCAGGGGGGGCAGTAAGGAGCAATAATTCCAGTAGTTAGGAGGCAGTTGGGGGTGACCTGGTTAGCAGCAGGGGTCAATTAGGGGTGATCAGGCCAGCATGCAGAGGCAGTGAGGGGCGATTGGGCTGGTGGGGGGGCAGTAAGAGGTGAGCAGGTGGCAGGGGGCTCAGTTAGGGGAGGCCAGTCCAGTGGGGTGGGTGCACTTGGGGGTGACCAGGCCAACGGGGGCGGGGGGCAGTTGGGATTGATTAGGCTGGCTGTGGGAGTGATGAGGGACAACTAGGCCAGCAGGGGGGCAGTTAAGGGCAATTGGGCCAGTAGGCAGGTGAGCAGTTGGGAACCAGCAGTCCTGGATTGAGAGATGGATGTCCCAGGTTGGAGAGAGTGCAGGCTGGGCTAAGGGACACCCCCCTTTTGTGCATGAATTTTGTGCACTGGGCCTCTAGTATAAGTATAAAATCTAAGGTTAGAATGGACCAGTGACATGGTTACATCTAATAGTTGAAAACTTTCCACAATTTATGAATTTGATAAAAAATGTCAGTATATGCATCTTCATATGATTTTTATATTTCTAGTTTCTTAGACCACATTTAAATTGTGATAGGCATATTGCATTTTATTGTTCTTTGCTTTAGTACACTTCACACATATTGCATTTTAATCAACACTGAGGCAAAACTCTCCACCAGCACAAAGATTATAATTTTCTGAAGTCTCAAATCATGGTTAGCATTTTTTAGCTATAACATTTTCATTAAGGTATGTACATTGCTTCATTTTAGACCTAATGTTATCACACTTATACTACAGTTTTCCATTGTATATAAGTCTTATATAGTTCATCATTTATTGTTAACTTGATTCCCACCTAAATTTCCAAAAGTGTTTAAAATGGCTTACAGGTGTTTAAAATATAAAATAGAAGTTAGAATAGAAACAAACAAACAGAATAACAAAAATGAAATCCAGAGTAAGCTTAATAAAAAATGATGAACTATATAACTCTTACTAGAAGCCCGGTGCACAAAATTCATGCACTGTGAGAGGGTATAGTCCAGGCTGAGGGACCCCATCAGTGCATGTTCAGGGCCAGGGAGGGACCTAAGATGTTGGCCAGCTGGGGAGGGATTGTGGGAGGGCCCCAGGGCATGTTCGCCCATCTCACTCAGTCCAGATAGGCTGGACACCAGCAGCCAGCTAACCTACCAGTTGGAGCATCTGCCCCCTGGTGGTCAGTGCATGTCATAGTAAGTGGTTAAGCAGCCTTAGCATATCATTAGCATATTACACTTTGGATGGGTTGAATGGCCAACCTGAAAACTGGACACTTAGCATATTATGCTTTTATTATATAGGGTATGCAATGGTAAACCAAAAAAACTTTGTGACTTGCACTTGCATTACTACAATGATATCTTTATTGCAAGGGTCTGGAAATAAAACTGCAATACCTTTGAGGTATACCTTTATACATGAGAAAGGCAAAAGAAGTGTGTTGGCATTAAAAAAGATTTCACTTATTATCATACTAATAATAGGGGAATATGCAAATTATCTGGGATACCATCATGTCATGACGGTTCAGCAGGGTTGGTGGGGCTGTGGGGCCATGGGGTAGGACTCCGGGTCTTGCGCGATTTCTTCCTGCCCAGGCAAACTCCCCCACAGACCCACAGCCAAATCCCAATGTGGACCTGGGGTTTACTAAACTTTATTGGAGCTACTCCCCACCCCCACCCCCCATCTCCTGCCCCAGGACAACACTTCCCATAGCAGGGCACCCTGGCAGCCTCCTGATAGTCGGGCGGCCACAGAGAACTGAGGGGGGCAGGAGAGGCATGAAGCCATGGAGGGGTGGGAAAGCCAGAGCCAAGTTCCTTGGGGTCTGAGGAGAGCACCTGACAGGAGCCCAGATTGCAAAGAAGAAAGAGGAAGCGGCCACAGGGAAGTCTCCCAATCCCCCTACTTGGACACTCTACCCAGACCTCTCACCCCCAGGGGGACAGGGAGGCTGACTGGACAGGGAAAAGAACCAGCCTTGGGGGTAGCCACAGTCTGCACCTCTGACTCCCAATCTCTTCCCCCGCCACCCCAACCAGGGGCACCCATAACAATAGCACACCGGCAATGACCCATCAGCGCCCCTGAGGTACCCAGGGCCTGCAACCCACCACTGTTGGGCCCCTTTGCTGGGGCCAGGCATTCCCCCTCCTCCCTATAACTCCAGATCCAGGTGGAGGCAGGCCCAAGTGACCCCTCAGGGTGAGACACCCCCCCCAACAGCAGTGGCACCATCTCTGCAGTGGAAGCACTCTGAACCTCACCAGGGGCCATGGCTAAATCTGCCCTCCTAGTCCATCTTGCCCTGCCCTGGCCCAGCTCCTGCCATGCTCCAGGAGATTGGAGCCCTGCCCTGAGCACGTACAGCTGTGAAATAGTCACATACAAGTTAAAGAATGGTGCCAAGCAGGGAGGTTTGGCAGTTACTCCCCTTTTAGCCTCACTGCCCCCTTAGCATCGCATATTGTCCCCTCAGCCAGGGCCTCCAGAAACAACCACTGCTATAGAGCTGCTGGCCAGAGCCTGCCCCTCTGAGGCCTATGGAACCCTCTGCAAAGCTTCAATAGCTACAGTCCCAGGAAACAATCATGCCCTTTTACCCTAATCAGCACCTGCTACCTGTAAAGGTACCCATGGCTTAAAAATAACAATCCCTTCCCATTTAGACATCACTTACTTGATGGAACATTTCTAGATTTATTAGCTTAGAACCTCCTCATGACAACCCAGTGAGGTAGGTGGAGAAGAGATTACAATTCCCATGTATATGCGTATGTGTTCAGGAATGAAGCTCAGAGAGGAAAAGTGTCAAGCCCAGTGGTTCCCAAGGTGCAGCACATGCCCCATGGGAGGGCAATTTGATTTTAAGTGGGGGCAATTGGAGAATGAGTTAACAGTGAATTTTTTACATTTCTTATGGTTCTTATGGGGCCTCATCTACAGCGTATCCTATATAATAAAAGGCTAATATGCAAATGACTGAATGGTGGATTGACAGGTCACTATGATGCACACTGACCACCAGGGGACAGACAATGCAGTAGCTTCCCCCTGGTAGTCAGTGTGCTCCCACAGGGGGAGCACCACTTAGCCAGTAGACAGGCTCATGACTGGCGAGCACAGGGGCAGTTCTGGGAGCCTCTTCCACCTCCATAGCAGTACTAAGGGTGTCCGACTGCAGGCTTAGTGGGCCTAAGCCATTAATTGGACACCCCTCCAGGGCTCCCAGACTGCTAGAGGGTGCAGGACAGGCTCAGGAGCCCCCCAAGTGCATGAATTTTGTGCATTGGGCCTCTAGTCTTATGATCTGTAATGTTTATTTTGACTCTTTTATCCAAATTAATTTAGTCTGATGACCCTTAGCCTGAAGAAAAACTTACATTTCAGGAGTGGAATATTCAGGAGATTTCATTCGTGTTCCATCTTTAAGCTGACGGCAGAATTCTTCATCTATTTGTACTCCTGGGTATGGTGAGGCACCTGGGACATAAGAAAAATCATGTATCTTATTAATTCCCATGAAATAAGTAACACATCAAGGGATTGCCCAAAAGGCAGAAACCTAAAAAAAATTCTGAGGAGGAAAAACAGCTCCAGATCTATATAGCTATGTAACATATGACTTCCATCTACCTTGACAGTTTAGAGACCTGGTATAAATGATTATGTCAGAAACCACACATATAAATTGCTTTGAGGTTGAGATAAAGGTTTTTAAAATCTACTGGTAAATTTCCATTGACTTGGTCATAATTTCATGCTTTCAAATGATATATTCAGGCATTATCCTGTTGGTTGATTAAATGTAATCCACCTTTCAATGTAACATGGGTGATTTTTTTAATCCAAAAATATTATGTTTTCAGTTTCTGAATGCCCATTTTATGTTACACTTTAACATCTGATATTCTAATGTAGTCCAGGCCTCAAGACAAACAAGGGACCAGATTTCCAGCCAGTGTGAACATCTGTTTCCAACTTGGGAATTGCAGCCTTGTGGCATCCAGACCCAAAAGAAAAATAAGGCCTGAGGGTAAATTTCATGTTGATAAATTGGAAAATTAATTACAAAAATGTTTTATGGGGTAGAAAAAAACACATTTCCCCAGTTTGAATCACAGTTTAGATTACATGGATGCAGAAAATGGAGACAGAACAGACAGCCGTTTTCTGGGCCTTATCCTGGAGCAGAAAGAAAGAACAGCTGAGGGTTGCACGAGGAGTGTTTATTGACAAGTTAAGGGACAGCTAAACTCCAGAAGGTGGGGGACAGCTGAACCTTGACCGGGCAGCCCCCACTGCTGCTAGGTCCCCAACCAGAGCTACAGGCTCAGACACGGAAACTGCGCCATCTTGAAGGAGAAAGTGGATCTTATTGGAAGCCTGAAAATCTACAACTGTGGCAACCACCAAAAAGCTAAGAGCCCTAGAACACCATTCCTAATTGGCGTAAACGTGTGGATTCAGAGGAGTTCTACACCCCACTACAGAAAGGTCAGATTTCGCCTGTGATAAGGTGAGGTCTCTGGTCCTGTCAGGGAGAGAGAAACGTGTGCTTTGCAGGAGCTGGAGGACCAGGGGAAGTTTGAGCCTAGAAAAATCCGTGGCTATTGAGGCTGGTGTGATCTGTGAATGTAGAAGGGGATCATCAGAGCAGCTAACAGAAGGGACCTCTAAAAAGCAACACATTTTGATCTGAAGCAAAAAGACAGCCTAAAAATATCAAAAGAGTGCTGGCTGCTAAGACCCAAGTGGGAAAAGGGGACTGTGCAGACTTGTGCACAGACCCATTATTTGCACATTTGGACTTTTTTCTGCTTCAAATCCTTGTTTCAGATTACTAAGCCCAATACATAGGATCACCCAGTTGGGGACACCTGGGAGACTGCAGGGGAAAGTTGTTTTTCTGGAAACTGGGGATCAGAGTGGGGAGTGACCATCGGAAAGCCAGCTCTGAGGCAGCCTACTCCCACAAACCAGTATTGAGTGCTACAGAAAAAGAAGGATCTAAACACAGGCTAGAGAGGTTAAATAGATCCAGAAGTCAACCCAGAAACACTGCCACCCAGGAGCTGAATCACAAATTGACTCCTGTGTAACAAAAAATAAAGGAATAGGAGAAATTAAGACACCACCTACTTAAAAATCAGGAATGGCTTACAACATTGATGAACAGTGGAATGTAGGGAACTGCACTAATGTCCAGATTTGGAAACAGGCATGCCAAATATAACAATAGAGGAAATGAATGACCTTCACTACTGCACATTTTATTTTCATTTTTTTTGCATCTTTTACTTAAGAAACCAATTTTTTTCCTCACTGATTTTACCTTTTTAATTATTACATTTTTATTTTCAATCTGTTTTATTACTACTACTATTTTACTTTTTAAAGTTTCATTTATTTTCTCTTTATTTTACTTTGGGATTAGTGTTCTATATTTTATTTCGTCTTTCCTTTAGCATCGTTTTACTCTATCTCAACTCTATCTTCATGTAATCACTCTCTTCCTAACTTTTCCCCTTTTGGTATCCTGTTTTTTTTTGTTTTTTTTTGTTTTTTGTTTTTTGTTTTTTTTTTATCCCTTTCCTGCTTTGAATTTTCCATATTCTTTCTCTTTACACCCTGTTAAAATTTCACCCTACTTATACATCTAATTTCCAATCCCCTGCTCCAAGTCCATACACACCTCTCTCTCCACTGTCTTAACTATCCAAAATATTGTTTTTCTCTCTGTCCTTTTGTTATTGTTTGCTTGAATGTTGAATATATTGAAATTTTATGCTTTTTTGTGAGATTGTTTTGAATATTCTTTTTTTTTCTCTCTTTTTGTTTGGTTTTTGCTTCTGTTTTCCCTCGACTCACTTGATATTAGTTGGTGTAGTATGTACTAATCTCTAGGTACTTGTTGCTGGTATTTGCTGGGATTAGTGGCTATTCTATTTAAGTTTGCTCCCCAAATATATAGTTTGTTCCCCATTTCTTTCTTAGTCTCTTTCTTGTCTCTCTTACTTTTTTTCTCTTTTCCCAATTTTATTTAGACACTAATTTTTTTCATTTTTTTTTTCCTTCTTCTTATTTCTCTCCTATTCCCTAATTTGCCTTTCTTTGCTGGTCACATTTATTGGAAGTTATTCATATCAAGAATACATCACTATTCAGTGCCTTGTGTGTTGTACCTGGTTGTGTTGTATTTTGTGCCTTTAAATCAATGAAGGAGAGAGAGAACTACATAACCAGACACCCAGAGAAGAAAGACCATGGGGAGACAAAGAAACAGCCTGCATATGAAAGAAAGGCAGTCATCACCAAAAAAGGAAGTAAAGGAAATAAAGGCAAGCAACCTATCAGAGAAAGAATTCAGAGAAATAGTCATAAGGTGGCTGACAGTAATGGAAGATAAATTCGACAATATGAGTAAGAACCAAGAGGAAATGAAGAAGAACCAAGAAGAAATGTGAAATAACATTGCTGTTGTAAATAACTCAATAGAAAGCATCAAGAGTAGATTAGAAGAAGCAGAGGACCGCATCAGTGAGCTAGAAGACAAGATGGGAAAAAATACCCAAGTAGAGTGGCTTCTAGGAAAAAAAAAATTAAAAAGCAGGAGGAGAGCAAAAAGAAACTTTGGGACAACTTGAAACAAAACAACATTTGCATAATAGGAGTTCTAGAAGGAGAGGAAACTGATAAAGGGATAGAAAACCTGTTTCAAAAAAATGACAGAAAACTTCCCTGATATAGGGAAGAAAAACCCACACAAATCCAAAAAGCTCAGAGTCCCAAACAAAATGAACCCCAAAAGACAGATGCCAAGACACATTATAATTAAACTAGGGACTTGTTGCAGGAATATTCCTGCAAGACTTCTGGTGGGCTTCCCTCCCGCCACTGCCACCTCTCCTACCCCCCCCCCCCCCCCCACCTCTCCCATTGTGGTGGGCAGGGCAGGGTGCGCCCCACCTATCTCACCCACCCCCCTGCACCTGTGGCCATCAATGTCACTGTCTCCGCAGCCATGTGTGCTGTCACCACCACTACGTGCCTTGCCCCCACATGCCCCAAAGTTTTATTCTTCCTTAAATGTTTGGTAAAACTCCCCTGTGAAGCTGTCTGTCCCCAGGCTTTTGTTTGCTGGAAGCTTTTTGATGACTGCTTCAATTTCTTCCATAGTTATCAGCCTATTGAGATGTTTAGATTCTTCCTGATTGAGTTTTGAAGATTGCATTTTTCTAGGAATATGTCCATTTCCTCCAGGTTATCTAATTTGTTAGAATATAGTTGTTCACAGTATATTTTAACAATCCTCTGTATTTCTGTGGGTCTGTTGTTATTTTGCTTCTTTCATTTCTGATTTTGTTTCTTTGGGTCCTTTGGGTCCTTTCTCTTTGCTTTTTAGTGAGCCTGACTAGAGGTTCAGCAATCTTGTTTATTTCCAATCACTTTAGATCTCAGTGATCTATAAACATTTGAATCCTCATCTATATTATGACACAGATACTTAAGAAAATATTTATCATCAGAGTTAAATGCACCTTGCTCCCAAACAGGCATGCCTGGATGATTTTAATAAAAACCCCTCAGGTCTGGCCAGTGTGGTTCAGTGATTGTTGACCTATGAACCAGGAGGATGAGGAGACCAGCTCTTTAATTGAAAAAGAAAACCAAAAATTCAGAGGTCAAGAAATGGCCGACTACATGATAAAGATAAGAAATGTGATTAGGAATCAAGCCCCGGAACAGATGAGGCAAAAGTGGATGTGTGTGTTGTATAAGTGTCTTATTTCCACCTGTATCCAGTTTTAAGTTTCAGAGACTTGTTGATAAATCTCCTTTATGTTGTTTTCCTCTTTTCATTGTTTTTGGGTTGTTTTATGCTTGTCCTTTTTTCTTAATGTGGATTTTATTGAGTTGATCTTTTGATAATCTGCAATCTGGGTAATTTGTATTATTAACGTTTTTGTAAACTTGAAAAAAATTTCCATATATTATTTATTAATTATTTATGGTCAGTCTATTCTGACTAGAATGCAAGCTCTATGGTGGCATGGGTACCATCTGTCTTGTTTACCACTGAATCCACAGCACTTAGAATGCCTGGCACATAATAGGTTCTTAAAAAATATTTGTTCAGTAAATTTGATCAATCAGTAAAAAAATGAGACAGTTTTTGTTGGTTCTTAGTCGCGATGATTTTCTATCTGATTCCATTGTATCCACAGACCAAGGTCTTTTACAGTCTGAGCCTATAGTCAGTGTTGACTTGGAATGGTGAAGGATTGGCCATAAAGAGATACACTTACCCAGAGAGAATATTTCCCACAGCAAGACGCCAAATGACCACACATCACTCTGAGTAGTATAAACTTTGTCAAAAATGGCTTCAGGTGCCATCCATTTAAGGGGGAGTCTTGCCTAGAAAACCAAAATGGGAGAGAGCCATGAAAATAACATCCGACAGAGCCCAGGAGCCTGAGCTTGGGGCATTGTGCCAGTGAACCTTGCACTTACATCTCCTTTCCAGACATAATCTGGGTCTTTGTAGATGTCTCTGGCCAAACCAAAGTCACAGATCTTCACAATGTTATTATCAGCTAGGAGGATGTTTCGAGCGGCCAAGTCCCGATGAATGCACTAAAGAAAAGAGACAAATGTCAGCTAATTGCTAGGCCCTAGGATGGTGCAGGTTTACTGATTCTCAGCAAGGAGAAATCCTGGGTACTAAGTATGGAGGGGAAAGGAATGAACATTCAGAACAGGAAAGTGTCTTAGAAGTGCTCAGCCTGACAAAATGTGATTAAGCTAAAATTTACTGAGAGACTGATGAGTTGGTCTGTTCTGAAATCTGGCTGGGTGGGCAGAATCTCTATTACATTGAATGGTTCCTCCCATTTGACTACCACTAGTATGTTTTGTTCTATGAACCCTAGAACCGTGGTTGGCAATCGGCAGCTTGCGAACCACATGTGGCCCTTTAGCTCCTTGAGTGAAGCTCTTCCACAAAATACCTTGGCCTGGGCAAGTCTATTTTGAAGAAGTGGCATTAGAAGAACTTTAAGTTTAAAAATTTGGCCCTCAAAAGAAATTTCAATCATTGTACTATTGATATTTGGCTTTGTTGACTAATGAGTTTGCCGACCACTGCCCTAGAACATAAATCTATTCTTTTCAATGCATTCTACTGCTAGTATCATGGGTCACAGAGACCCTTTCTTTCCCTCATTTGGACCATTGCAATGGTATCCTAACTGTTACCTGTGCCTCCATCCAGTTTAGCCCCATGAACTACTCAATGGTCCACTCTAGTCCTAAAGTCCAATTCCTTAAATATAAACCTGAGTGTGCTTCTACTTAAAACCTTTTATTTTGTGGTGATTGGAAACCATCAAAGTTCAAATTTCTTTGTATGATGTTCAAAGCTTTTCATAATTAATATCAAGCTCTCTGTTTATCTACAGTTTCTCATCTCCACACCTCCATGCATCCTATGCTGTAGTCTTGAGAACTATAGAAAATTTCCTTGTTTTCAAGTTGTCATGATATTGCCTAAATAAAAAGTCCTCTTAAAAGACAATAAATTCTCTAGACTTCCTTCCATAGAGTCACAAAGCACTTATTTTATACTTCTCTCATAGGATCCAACCTATTTTGTTATATATAGTATCTGTCTACATCAGTGGATTCTTAGGAAAAAGAATTAGTATCTTTAATGTCTGTATCTCCAGCTGTCAATATAGATAACATAATAAGCAATCAACAGGTATTTGTTGAAAATTATTATTCTAATATTTAATAACCTACATTACTAGAATGAAATATTCCAGCCATCTCTCAAATTGGAGTTTGAAAAGTAAGTCCCTTACAACTGTAGGTAGGCAGATGAGTAGCTTTCTGAACATATATGAATTAATCAAAGAACAATTCAAGAAAGTAAGACAAATAAGGTATTATGGATACTGGTATCATGGAAATCTACCTCCCCTACCTCCATAAACAGTAAAAATGAAAGAAAAGGAAGAATAAACACTCACTTTTCTGGAAGCAAGGAACTCCATGCCCTTGGCCACTTGGAAGCTATAGCAGATTAGGTCCTCTAAGGTGAGGGGGTGCTTGTAAAGATTATTTGAATCTAGAGAAGTTAAAGAAGGTTGGAGAAAAAGGCCAGAGGTTAAAAACTTCGTAAGTCTGTAGAAATAGCAGTAAGGAAGACATAGGAAGAAAGACCTGCCTTCCATAAAATGTTGCAAAATGGAAGCCAAATTTTTTGACAACAGGACTTTGATTGACCTTACTGTACTATGACCTCCTGTGTTTTTCTAAATGATGGGTATATACTCTTTTAAATCAAAATAATCTATAAGATCATCTTCAGGGATTCAACAGCTCATACCTTGACTATTTCTCCCCACCCCCCAAAAATTAAATATATGATTTTTCCAGATTTTGTTGCCAATTCTGGGTGCAAGAGATAATCTGGAAGATATATATGGGATGCCAAAGTTTGGAAAGTTTTAAGAAATTCCATAATTTATGGCCAGAACAGGTCTGAGTTTTTAAAATCACAATGATTGGTCACTATATATTACACTCTTTGCTAGATCACTTCCCCCAATTTAGGATAATAGATGCAAAGTTCAGAAATTCCTTCTGCTCTTTCTGATGTTCTACCAGCAATATATTAGGATTATAAGGGCCTTTACAAAGACTCTAGTCCAGGTATCTGCTGTAATTTTATAAATAGAGAAAGTAAAGCCTAGAGAGGAGTGCCCTTTCTACTGCAGTTATCATATCCCTACCCAGATTTTACCATGATCCAGATACCCCAAAATCCTGTTCCAGAGCTATATCAGGCATCTATTCTGATTGCTTATTAACTGTACCAATATTTTAAAAATATTTTAATATCTGTAAAATGTTTATATAGCAACAGCCATTTGTCAATACCTTACACATTTGTTAAATATTTTGACTATCAGGCAGTGTATGTTAAGTATAATTTATATTATCCCTATGTTTAGTGTCAGTTTTCTCCTCTGTTAAATGGAGATAAGCATACCTATTTATCTCATAGTAAAGTTATAAAGCTCAAGGAAATAATTTATTGGAAAGTGCTTTGGAAACTGAAAACGTATATACCAGTGTTGGAGACTGTCATTATGAACAACTTCTGTTTGCTGACAGAAGTGCAAGTTGAGTTTAGAAAAAAATGTTCTCCAAATTGTATATCAACAGTTACAGAGGAAGACATAGTTTTCTGGATCACCTCCCTCAACCCCTGGTATAACCTTTCTGGGAAGTGGCCTAACTCTCCCAACCAAACACTATCCTCAAACCTCTAATAGCCTTGAGTGTTAGTCAGAAAATGACCCCACATACCTGTTTGGTGGGTTATTGTGACCCCCAGAAGGTGGCGGCTACTTTCTTCCTCCTCATCAGATTCACTATAGCTCTTGTCCTCAATGAAACCAGAGCTGGTGGAACTTCCTGTGCTAGTCACACTCTCTAGACGGCGGTTAATCAGCTGGATAGGCTTGCAGTCAGAATCATGAGAAATCTTCACCTTTTTATCCAAATTGAATAGGACCTGAGGGTTTAAATAGATCTTCAGAGCTGAAAGAGACTTAAAAATTATCAATTCTGTCCTACCCTTTGTTTCCATTAGGGAAACTGAGGTCTAAAGAGGTGTAAGGAAATTGTTCAGACAGAAAGTCTTGGTGGAAGCTGAGAATGCTGACTACTAGTATAGGGTTCTTTTCCATGCTCTATAATGTCAGTTGACTCATCCCTGATGAGAGGAACATCCCACATATGGCTGTTGAAGAAGTTTCCTTGCCCAACAAGTCAGCAGGCTTTCATGGGGCCAGTATATTTGGTGGCATGTAGTACCCCAAAAGTACCTGAGCTCTGTGCTTAAAATTGATCATATGTCATAAAAAGAAGACACTATCTCTTGTTAATTAATTACCATTACTCCTTGTACTTTTGCTAAAATTAGAGTAGAGGAAGAACTTGTGGTTTGAGTTAGCAAATTTCTAGCTGGATTCAGATGACACCCTGGATTCTGGGGGCTCTTTTCTGAATTCATTAAAAAAGTTAGGTATTTTTTATAAATAAAGCAGTAAATGCTACAGTGCTTTGCAGTACTTTGAGAAATAGAAACAGTTGACATTTCCCCAGAGAAAAGGTCAGTGCAGTATGTTTATCTATAGAGAGTAGAAAAGTGAGAAGAGGGGAATATTGACATGTTGGTGACAAATGCCTGTGACCATTTACTCAGGGCTGGAAATTACCCAAATGAAAGGTCCTGATAATTGTACACTTGAAATCTTGTCACTAACATTTAATTTTTTAAAAAATTATTTTTCCCAGAGCCAGCCTAAGAACTTCATGAAGCTCCCAGAGCTTCATTTAATATCAGAGAGCTCAAGTTGATGTCTATGAAAGAATAAAGGCATGATGGGAAGTGGGCAATCTAACTACTCTGGATGTCATATTTTAAACTAACCAATGACTAAAGGGTGACACTAACCAATGACATAATTTCATCCAATGCCAGAAGAATGCTGAAGAGATCATTGAATTCAAGGCTGTTTTAGATATATAAATGCATGCCCTACCTCCCCTGAACAGTAATATTTTTGCTTCTGCTTTTCCACTTTTCTCTCTCTTTTTATAATTAGAAAATTTCAGATAGTATTAAAAATAAAAATAGATTGTACAGTTCAGTTAGGGAAACTTACCTTGGAAGAAATAAAATCTCCTCTCTTCCCTCTAAGAAAGTTGGCCAAATTTCCATATCTGCAGAATTCTACAATGACCATCAAAGGACCTACCAAAAGTAATGACCATAGTCATCTTTCCAGAAATATAAAGGTTAACCAATTCTTAGGCTGGCCTTATCCTGGTAATCTGTTGACTCACACAGGATTTCTTAAACCAGTTGACTAAATACTTGTGCTGAATACAATAGTGATTTATCCCAGAAACAGCTGGATGGCTTAGAGTTAGCTGTGGGAAGCTTTGGCAGAAGGTGGGAAGTAAGGCCAATAAACCACAATGGACTTTACTGTGGTGTTCTGTAGGCTGGCTAATATGAACGACATAGAAATGAGTATGACAGAGTACCTGACCACATGCAGCTAACAGTCCAATGATAAAGGCAAAGGAGTATACATCTAGTTGGATAGTTCATCCATTTAGTAACTGGGGCTCCTGTTTCTATCCTCCACACTATCATATGTTATATGTAGTTGCACAGCACCATGGCCCAACTACACTCTCCAAACCCCTTGCTTAGTGCCTCAGACAAAATCAGAAGGGCTCATAAAATGTTTAAAATAAAATTAGATTAAAGACACAACTTTTCAGTAGCACAGTAATAGAGGAACAACTAAATGGCTTTTGGTGTAATTGAGAGAATGACTCCAAATCTGTAAACAGACAGGGATTATATATCTTCTTATTGACTAAGTGGGAGAAACTCCTTCTCAGGCTACGGTGCTAACCTAAGAAGGTGAAAGCTTAAATAGGCATCAAAAGATAGTCTATGGCAGTGGTTGGCAAACTCATTAGTCAACAGAGCCAAATATCAACAGTACAACGATTGAAATTTCTTTTGAGAGCCGAAAACTGACTTCTGCACATGGGCCACGAAGTTTCAATCGCACTGTACGTGCACACCCACACATGGTATTTTGTGGAAGAGCCACAGTCAAGGGGCCAAAGAGCCACATGTGGATCGCGAGCCACAGTTTGCCGACCACTGGTCTATGGAATCCCCTTCACTGAATATGTTTGCACTCAAATGTTTTCTCTTCAACTAATGTCTCATTAACTGTACCAATATTTTTGGATGTCCAAGCTGGCAAGAATTTTAGAGATATATTCAATCCCTTTATATATTTTACAGTATTTCTAGGAACAGGAGTCAAAGAATATGGGTTCTGGAAACCCCATGCATTGCAACGAGTCTCTAAGTTAGAAGACCTTACATACAGTACATTGAGGCCTGTCTAAATCAGGTCACAGCTTGTGTTTGAGTGCTCTGACCCTTAGAGGAATGTTCTGTCCAGGTATTGAAGACTCCTTACCTCCAGGTTTGGTGCAGGCACCTAGCAAGTTAACCACATTGAGGTGGTGACCAATGTGAATGAGGATCTTCAGTTCTGACATCAAAGCCTTAAATTCACTGGAAGTTGCACAATCTGCTTGAAACAAACACAGTAACGCACAAAAGAATTATTTCTCTTGGGAGAGGCTGAAGGAGTATAGGAGATCCTGTTTAATGCTAAAGTATCCTGGCAGAAATACCCATAACACAATGATTAGTTTTTGTGCTTTCAAAACAATATTATAAATGGAATAATAATATCTTCATGTGCACTATCCTGCCTAGATGTTGAGATTTAAAAAAAATATATATATATATTATTGAGTTTTTACAGAGAGGAGGAGAGAAGGATAGAAAGCTAGAAACATCGATGAAAGAGAAACATCAATCAGCTGCCTCTTGCACACCCCCTACTGGAGATGTGCCCGCAACCAAGGTACATGCCCTTGACCGGAATCGAAACCGGGACCTTTTAGTCCACAAGCCGACGCTCTATCCACTGAGCCAAACTGGTTCCAGCCAGATGTTGAGATTTATGGACTAACAGCTTTAACTACTTTTCTACTTTTAAATTTTGAAAAGGATATTTTTTGATAGCTACTTCTTTTGTGATAAATTATTTCATCATTACTATCTAGAAGAGGTAATTGGTAAACTGGCCAAGTTTGATTTAAGCATTTTTCTGTGTGGAGTCAGGATATGGATTGGATCATATTAGGGTGTTTAAACATATACAAATTTATCTATTTAAGATAGGAACTACACTACAAGTTTATGTAGCCCAACCAATGCAGAATCTGTACATCACATGGAAATTTATTGAAACATCATTTACATTTCTATATCATTTAATTCTGCTGATGCAGTGAAAGACCATGTAGGAATTCTGGTGGCCAAATACCATTGGTAACTCATATTGGCCTTACCAACAAACTAAAAACCTTGGGTCTTTACTTCTGCATTTGTGTGGTTGAACCCAAAAGAAGAACAAATTGGCTGACACACAAGATTGGCTCATGTCCATAGCTGAATTTTCCATGACAAATATTAGTCAAATGAAGGTGGAAATTAGTTGTAGTTTCCTCCCTCCACTATTTTAATTCTGTATCTTTTACAGTCCAGTTTTCCACCTCATCACAAGTATTCTTACAAATTTCTTCCAATGGCCTCCAAAGGAATATAAATATTACCTTTCAGCATTTTCACTGCCACTGTTTTGCAAGTTGAAGCTCTGTCAATGCCAAAGGCACAAGCCTCTACCACTTTACCATAGGCACCATGACCAAGAATTTTGCCTGAGGAATCAAGAAAAGAAAATGAGTAATAGCCACTGAAAGACCCCAGAGAAAATTGAAAAGTTGGTTGCTTTTACAAGAGCAACATAATTGCTGACTCAGCATTATCTGGGAGGCCTTTATACACCACCCCATGTGAAAAAGCAATGCTGTTACTCTACATTACTTGAACTTGCTTTATTACCTTTGTAACCCTATGACTAGATAATATTATGCTGGAATATTTATTATTTCTCCCCCCAAAATATGAGCTCTGTGAAGTCTGTTTTGTTCATGGCTATCTGCACATCACACGGAATGTTTCTTTATATATGGTAGGTAACCGATAAAAAATGTGTGGAATAAGTGAATAAAGGGCCACCCCATGCCAGCCATTGACAGTAAGGATAATGTGGGTTGGAACAGATTTATGATAGTCTATAGTCACAAACAAGTTCTTTAGGTGAGGTTGTTAACACAAACCTATTAATAAGGTTTTAGTCAAGACTCCTGGTCATCTACCTCATTAGAAAGCATATTGGTTACTGGAATATTTGGTATCATTTTGTGGGTATTCATTATATTTTCTTATTGAAAGGACTCTGGATCCCAAGTTAATTTCCTTTAAAAAGACTCCATCATAAAACAATACCTTCAATTGTTGAGGTGTTCAAAATTTATAAAACACATTTCTAAATGTTACCTTACTACATGCTCCAAGTAGCAACATAATATAAATTAAACACCTATAATTGTTAATATTTTCCTTTTATAATGGAAGAAATGGGCTCAGAAAAGTTAGGTGACTTGCCTTGGCTAAGGTCTCCCAGTATGGACATCTAAAATATCCCAGTTGCATGCTATGCATGCAATGTCATTCTGCTCCCCTAATTTTTATTTTATTCTTCACATTGCCACCTTTGAAACACATCTTACTTTATTTAAGTTTAAGTGCATCCTGTATTTCAAGCCATTGCTTTTTCTTGGGCTATATACTCAGTGATTTTGTAGCTCTATGGTGAAAGAAATGTGGAAGGGTGACATAACAGATATTCTTTTTCTTACCTAATTGTAACCGGTCCCTAGGGAATTCCCATTTAGTGTCATCATAAGGAAGCCTGTCACACTGTTGGTCAAGGGGCATCTCTTCAGGATCCATGATGATGGAAAGGTAACCAGTTTTGATTTCTGACACACTGGGCTACAGAAAGGTAAAGGAAAACATATTACTGAGTTCTTTTGATCTTCTGAAAATGTATTAGGCCTCTGGAGTTTCCAATTTTACATTATAAGTTAGTAACATAAAAAACACACATAAAGAGCATAAATATAATAAAGAACACTCCATAAACAAAAATAAAAACTAACAGGGAATAAAGACTTTATAATAGTCTGACTAATCATGAAACTGAATTAGAATAAAATATACTAACAGACATATATGCATACACCATGGATATGGACAATAGTTTAGTGAAGGCCAAGGTAGGGGGAGGTGGGAGTTGGGCAAAGGGTGGAAAAAAGGGGGACACCTGAAATAATGTCAACATTGAAAATTATTAATTAAAAAAAAAGAGAGAATGAAGAAATGGCCTTGACCATGACTTTGATTAACACAGATAGCTCAGCTTCAGAAATTTGGCTAATACTGACCAGTTTCAGTATACTGGCATTAACAATACATATCAGAACCAGCAAGGACACTGTCTGCATGTTCATAGCCCCTCATACTTATCTCTTTGTTCAGCTTTCCCTCTCTTTCCCTATAAACCCCTTCCTGCACAGAAATGCTAAGATGGGCTTTGTACAAGAGTCCCCATCTTTTCAAGATGACAGCATTAAAATAAAAATCTTCCCTTTTTCACCAGCATATGTCTCAGGAGTTTGGATTTCATGGCAGCAGGCAGTGGAAAATTGGTTCTGGTTATAAAACAACAAACTAGAAAAATAGTTACAATAAGCATACAAAATTAATACCCATATTATAAAGAACTATGAAAAAACAATGATAAAAAGGGACAGTGCAAATAACAGAGTCACCAACTCTGGGGTTATGTCCTCCCTCTCCCATAAAATCAACTAATGAAGTTGCAAAAGTGATCAGAACTAACTTTTGAATAGGTTTGAACCCAGTAGAACTTACAGCAATGAGGGAAAGACTTGAGTAAGAATCATCTGCTTTGTGGTAATAAAGATATGTTGCTAGTTCCAGAGGAAACAATCTGAACTTTGTTCTAAAAATATTGTGGCTGTAGGCTTCAACATGTCTGGCAAATCCCTCAAAGAACAGTGAAAAATCTATAAAAATTGGAGCATAACCAGAGAAGGGTAGCTTCCCAGAGGGCTTTATTCCAAAGCATTTATAGGCACAGAAATTTTCCATAACACCTTCTGATAAGGCATAGTGCTAGGGACACTAGGAAAAAAATCAATTACAAAGTAAGTCTATAAAGAAGAGTTTAAGAAACAAAATAAAGGTATAAGACATGAAGAAAATTTGTAAAATGGCAAAACTTAGTGATTTGATGTAGTAATTACATTAAGTATAAAGGGCTTAAATTTTTTCAATTATAAGCAGAAAATGGCTCTATCAGGAAACTCTTACCCAAGGGCCACTGGGAATCTTCACTGGATGGTCCAACCCACCTAAAATGTAGGCACTCCAATGCTCCAAGTGTTAAACTGACACTTCTTCTCACACTAGAGCCAGCTCTTAACACATGCTCACAAATACAGTGACAAGAGCAATCCCCAGTAAACAGGAAGCATGCGCAGAAAATAAGCTATGGTCTGTGGTCAAGAGAGAAGCAAATTTGAGCTGAAGTGTCGCTATCAGGAAAATAAAGACATTTCCAGAAGCCAGCCTGATGAATTTTGAGATTAAGAAAAGACACACAAGCTTAGGAATTTTGTGATAAGAGAGAAAGACACAAGAGACAAGTATCCTATATAATAAAGAGGCAATATGCAAATTGTAACTCCAACACATAAGATGGCCATCCCATGTGGACTCAAAATAGTCACCACAAGATGGCCGGCAGGGGAGGGCAGTTGTGGGCAATCAGGCCAGCAGGGGAGGGAAGTTGGGAGTGACCAGGCCTGCAAAGGAGGGCAGTTGGGGGCAATCAGGCCTGCAAGGGAGGACAGTTAGGAGTGACTGGACAGGCAGAAGAGGGCAGCTGGGGGATATCAGGCTTGAAGGGGAGGCCAGTTGGGGGCGACCAGGCCAGCAGGGGAAGGCAGGTAGGGGTGACCAGGCCTGCAGGGGAGGGCAGTTGGGAGCAACCAGGCTGCAAGGAAGGGCAGTTAGGGGTGACAAGGCCTGCCAGGAGAACAGTTGGGGGTGACCAGGGTGGTAGGGGAGGGCAGTTATGGGTGACCAGGCTAGCAAGGGAGGGCAATTAGGGGTAATCAGACCAGCAGGGGAGGGCAGTTAGGGGCAATTGGACTGGCAGGGGAGCAGTTAGGCATTAATCAGACTGGTAGGGGAGTGATTAGGGGGTGATAAGGCTGGCAGGCAGAAGCGGTTAGAAGCAATCAGGCAGGCAGGCAGGCAAGAGGTTGGGAGCCAGCAAATCCTGGATTTTGAGAGGGATGTCCAACTGCTCATTTCAGCCTGATCCCGGATCAGGCCTAAAGGGCAGTCAGACATCCCTCAAGGGGTTCCTGATTGGAGAGGGTGCAGGCTGATCTGAGGGACAACCCCCCCACCCCCTGTGCATGAATTTTGTGGACCGGGCCTTTAGTATTTATATAAGATTGGTAAAAGCCCCAGAAATAAGCAGGATCAAAGTAAAGTTTCTCCCAATTGAAGGCAACACGTAAAAACTGGAGATGATGAGCATTAATTCAAATTCAAAATCAACACAAAACTCCGAGGCCCATAAAAAAAATTAAGAAAGCAGAGAAAACATGGCATCCAGCAGGAGAGAAGTGACGGAGAGAGTGTGAGTGAGCAAGGGAGTGAGAGGGAGTGTTCATATGTGCATGGTGTGTGTTTGTAGGTATGAATGAGGTACAATATGATCTCATAGAAGTCTTTAGGGCTGGCACTCCTGGACAGAGAGCCCCTGGTACCATCACAGGCACTGTCCAGGAAGTGAGGCTCTGGCACAGAAACCACTTCATTTTGATGGGGAGAGCATCCAGGGCTAGGAACACAAGCTCACCACCCAGACTGGCCTTGAACACCACTCTGGCCTGTGTAGTAATTTGCAGAGTGCATGCTACCTCAGCCAGAGTTGCACTACCTCAGCTGCAGAGTCTGAGACAACTGACCCCTAAACAGAGGCTCTGGGACCACTCATTGATTCACAGAGTGCACAGCACCCTGGCCAAAGTCACACTACCTCAGCTGTGGGCTCTGGGAAACATCACAATGAGTCACAGAGTCACACGCCACCCTGCCATGGGCTCCCATACCCCACAATGAGTTGCATCACCTTGGCCATGAGCTCAGGACCCTGCATGAGTCCCAGAGTAGTAAGCCACTCTGGCAGCAGGCTCCAGTACCCTGCAGTAAGTTTTATGCTAGTGAGACCTCAGGTAAACCTTGCCATGGAAGCTGGGACCCCAAGCACATATACAAAGGCCTGCAAAATGAGGTTGGGGGTGAGCCACATAGTCAGGCAACATGTGAGGAGACTCCAACCACAAATGGGACAATAACATTTAAGACCGAAATACACTAGGAAAACCCAAATAACTCAAGCAGGGGGCTTTCCTAGAACAGCCAGCTCACTAGACAGTGTCACTGGGTCCCACAAAACACCTACTACATTAGACCAACACTAAAAATCGGGGTTTCATAGCAGTTTGATCTAAGATGCAGAAATAAGTACAAGATAGCAAAAATGGGGAGACAAAGAAACAATCTCCATAGGAAAGAAAAGGTGGAATTGCCAAAAAATGAATTAAATGAAATAGAGGCAAGTAATTTGTCAGAGAAATAATTCAGAGTTATGGTTGTAAGGATGCCCAACCATCTTACTGCGAATTACATGCAACTCAATGAAAACTATAAGGAGCAGAATAAGAAATACACTAACATGAGTAATAATCAAGAAAAAATGAAGAATGGCATAGCTGTAACAAAAAACACAATGAAAACTTTCAACAGAAGACCAGAAGAAGCTGAGGATCAAATGAGTGAGTTAAAAGAAAAAGTAGAAAAAACACCAAAGCAGAGGAACACCTGGAAATAAATTAAAAAGCAGGAGGAGAGTTTAAGGGAGCTTTGGGACACAACATAAAACATAATGACATCTGCCTAATAGGGGTGCCAGATGGAGAAGAAGATGAGCAAGGAATAAAAAACATATCTGAAGAAATAATAAAAGAAAACGTCCCAGACTTGGGGAAGAAAAAAGTCACACAAGTCCAAGAAGCACATAGAGTCCCAATCAAGGTGAATCCCAAAAGAGCCACACAGAGATGTATGATAATTAAATTGGCAAACATAAAAGACAAAGAAAGAATCTTAAAGGCTGCAAGAGAGAGACTGAAAATTACCTACAAAGGATCCCCCATTATACTTTCAACTGATTTCTGAACAGAAACACCTTAAACTAGAAGAGAATGGAATGAAGTATACAAAGTGATGCAAAGCAAGGGTCTGAATACAAGAATACTCTACCCAGCAAGGCTATCATTAAAAATTGAAGGTGAAATTAGGAGCTTCACAGACAAAAAAGGCTAATGGAGTTTATTACCACCAAGCCAGCAATGCAAGAAATGCTAAAGGTAATATTGTAAAAAGAAGAAATAGAAAGGGAGGAAGGAACACAGGCATCAAAAATAAAAATGGCAATAAACTAGTACCTATCAATAATAATGTTAAACATAAATAGATTAAATGTTCCAATCAAAAGACATAGAATAACCAATTGGGTAAGAAAACATGACCCACATATGGAATGCTGCCTATTAGAGAAACACTTCAGAACACAGGACTCACACAGATTAAAAGTGAAAGGATAAAAAATTTCTTTAGGAGTCATATTGTGTGTTGGTGTGATGGTCAATCTGCATATTACTCTTTTATTAGATAGGATAGAGGCCTGGTGCACTGGTGGGGGCCTGAAGGATGTCCCAGATCAAGGTGGGGATTCCCTTGGAGTGTGGGGAGGCCTGAGTGAGGGGCCTGTGGTGGTTTGCAGTCCAGCCATACCCCTTGGTGACCCAAGTGGAGACCCTGGTATC